TATTTTTCAAGGGGAAAAAAATTGGCCTAGTAGTAGGAGATTGAGAGTTAAATTAGAAAATTATTCCTTAAAACATGGCTGGGGCGGGGCGGGATGTGTAGGTGTTAGTGAAGAGGGGGAAGGAACGGTATTCCGGGCAGGGAAGGGCATTTGTAAAGGACCTGAGACAGGTGGCAGCTTATTGCATTTAAGAAAGTTCCATGGTACTTGAAACTCAACACATGGAAAATCCAGCTCCCTGTTTTCCTCCTTAAAGCCTATATTTCTATATTACTTGTCTCTGCACATAATGGCCTCAATCAGAAGCCCCGGGTATTGCTCTAAATTCTTGTGATGTGTCAACTTAGGTAGGCCAAACAACTACCCCATCCTCCTAATTCCCTTCTGGTGTGCTTCCAGTTAGAGTGGGCAAGGACGGCCAGCCATTCATCAAACACAAATTTAGGCGCGGTGATGAAGGGATTTTGCAAATGTAATTAGAGTCCTAATTGGTTAGCTTTGAGTTAATCTAGGGGAGATTATCCTGGGTGGCCTGACTTAATCAGATGGAATCCCCTTAAAAGAGGGCTAGGCATCCCCTGCGGTCACAGACTCAGGCCATGGCTGGGCAGGCATGGCTCTCCTTCCCTCCCCAGGATTGTCCTTTGCTAACTCCCTGTCCCAATGGCTTCAGGCTTGCTTAGCCAGCTCCCACAATTACATAAGTCAGTTTGCTAATTCCTTGTACTAAATCCATTTTTATAAATTTCTAAATATTACGTGAATATATATAAAGGATGTATATATCCTGTTGATTCTGCGTCTGTGCTTGAACGCTGACTTACAGAGTAATCTTCCTATAACTGATCACTTAGTAAATGCCAAGATTCTGCTGCTTTAAAAGTTTCTTTTTGGTCCCCCTTCTCTGTTCCTGGTGAATTGGGGTTCACATGAGCTCCACCTCTTCTTGCCTTGATTACTGAAGTTCCCATCCAGCTGATCTCTCTGCATCCTCTGAGGTCCTACCACACCGAGTTTATTTTCATGTCATTGCCTAGAGTTTTCTTTCTATTTTTTTTTTTTTTAAGATTTTACTTATTTATTTGACAGAGAGAGAGCACAAGCAGGGAGAGCAGCAGGCAGGAGGAGAAGCAGGCTCCTGGCCAAGCAAGGAGCCAGGTGCAGGACTCCATCCTAGGACCCTGGGATTGTGCCCTGAGCCGAAGGCAGATGCTTGACTGACTGAGCCATCCAAGTCTCTAGAGTTTTCTTTCTAAACAACACATCTGATCTTGTCACTCTGCTTAAAATCTTTTAATGGCTTCCTGGAATTCTCAAGCAAAAATTCAAAAGCCTTAGTTTTTTGGTTTTTTTTTTAAGATTTTATTTACTTATTTGACAGAGATCATGAGTAGGCAGAGAGGCAGGCAGAGAGAAAGGGGAGAAAGCAGGCTCCCCGCGGAGCAGAGAGCCTGATGCGGGACTCAATGCCAGGACCCTGAGTTCATGACCTGAGCCAAAGGCAGAGGCTTAACCCACCCAAGTGCTCCTAGCTTTTTTTTTTTTAAATTTTAATTTTTAATTTTTTTTTAAAGATTTATTTATTTATTTGAGAGAGAGGGTGTGTGCATGCGCAGGGGCAGGAAAGGGAGCAGAGGGAGAGGGAGAGAGAGCATCTCAAGCAGACTCCCTGCTGAGTACGGAGTTCCACGTGGGGATCGATCTCACAACCATGATCTGAGCTGAAACCAAGAGTCGGCCACTTAACCTACTAAGCCACCCAGGTGCCTGCTTAAAGATTTTATTTTTAAGTAATCTCTACACCCAACGTGGGTCTTGAACTCATGACCCCAGATCACGTGCTCTCCCAACTGAGCCATCCAGGTGCCCCGAAGCCTCAAAAAGTTTTAGCTTTTTTATGACTGCATTTTCTCTCATCTCTTAGCATATCAGTTTTACTTCCTCTGGAAATTTTTTAGTGGTTTCCTAGAGCTTGTGGTACCCATTTACTAATCCAGGTCCACTTTGAAACACCAAAGCACCTGTCCAGTAGTGCGGGTAACCTACACCAGTATTCCCAGATCCTCCCTCGTAGCTGGTGGAGCACTACTGTCTCTCATATCACTGCCTATAGGCTATAATCATCAAATACATTGTTGCTGCTGTTACTTTGAACAAAAACTCTGTTCAACTGGTAACAATTGGAATAAGAAAAATATTTTATTTTACCTTCATTTATTCCTTCTGACACTCTTTCTTTATGTAGGTTTGACTTCATGACCTCTTATCTCTCTCTGAAGAGCTCTAACATCTTGCAAGTCAGCTCTGTTGGTGATAAATTCCCTCAGTTTTGTCTGGGAAAGCCTGTATTTCTCCTTCACTGTAGGGATAATTTAGCTGGTGTAGAAGCCTAGGTATGTGTTGCTTTTATCTTTCAATGCTTGAAATATTTCACTCTATGTTCTTCTTGCTTGTGTGGTGTCTGAGGAGAAAGCCAATGAAGTTCCTATCTTTGTTCCTCTATAGGTAAGATGTTTTCTTTTCCCTCCCTCAGATTTCTTCCTTGATTTTCTCTTCTTTTTTTTAAAGGTTTTATGTATTTATTTGAGAGAGAGAGAGCAAGCAAGGGGAGGGGCATAGGGAAAGGGAGAAGAAGGCTCCCCTGCCTAGTAGGGAGCTGGACTCCCATGACTCTGGTGGGATCATGACCGAAGGCAGATGCTTAACCGACTGAGCCACCAGGTGCCCTGAGTCTGGTTTTTTGTTATCTTTTTTTCTTTGTTCGTTTGTTTTGTTTATTAAATACCACATATGAGTGGACGCATCTGGTATTTGTCTTTCTCTGTCTTTCTCTGTCTTGGTTCACTTAGCATTATACTCTCTAGATCTGTGTTGTGGCAAATGGCAAGATCTCATTGTACATATATGCCACATCCTTCATATCCATTCCCCTATCCATGGACACTTGTGCTCCTTCCATATTTTGGCTACTATAAATAATGCTGCAGTAAACATAGGGGTGCATCTATCTTCTTGAAGTAGTGTTTTCATATTATTTGGGTAAATACCCAGTAGTGGAACTACTGGATCATATGGTAATTCTATTTTTAATTTTTTGAGAAACCTCCATACTCTTTTCCACAGTAACTATACCAGTTTGCATTCACATCCAGGTGTAGATTTTTTAGTAGTTATCCTTGGTGTTCTCTGAGCCTTCTGGGCTTGTGGTTTGGCGTCTGTCATTAGTTTATAAAATTCTCAGTCATTATTGCTTTAAGTATTTCTTCTCTTCCCTTCCCTCTTCTTCTTCTGGCATTCCCATTACATGCATGTTACACCTTATGGCATTGCCCCAAGGCTCTTGGATTTTCTATTCTGTTTTCTTTTCTTTTCTTTTTTTTTTTTCTTTCTTTTTTTTTTTTTTCTTTCGTTTTTTCTTTACTTTTCAGTCTGGGAATTTTTTGCTGACACACATTCAAGCTCATAGAATTTTTTTTTTCTTTTTAAATATTTTATTTATTTATTCACAAGTAGGCAGAGAGGCAGGCACTGAGAGAGTGGGAAGCAGGCTCCCTGCTGAACAGAGAGCCCGATGTGGGGCTCCATCCCAGGACCCTGAGATCATGACCTGAGCCAAAGGCAGAGGCTTAACCCACTGAGCCACCCAGGCTCCCTGGTCATAGAATTTTTTCCTTGGCCATGTCCAGTCTACTGATGAGCCCATCAAAGGCATTCTTCATTTCTGTTACAGAAATTGTTTTAAAGACTTGTTTTATTTGAAAGAGAGAGAGAGAGAATGAGCACGAGCAAGAGGAGGGGCAGAGGGAGAGGCCCAAGCAGATTCCCCGCCAAGCGTAGAGCCCAACGTGGAGCTTGATCCCAAGGACCTGAGATCGTTACCCGAGCCAAAGTCAGATACTTAACTGACAGAGCCACACAGCTGCCCCCAGAACCTTTTTTTTTTTTTTTAAATTTCCAGCATTTCCTTTTGATTCTTTCTTAGAGATTCCATGTCTCTGCTTACATTATTCATTTCTTCTTCCATGTTGTCCACTTTCCCACTGGAGTCCTTAGCCAATCGATCATAGTTCTGGTAATTCCAACATCTCTGCTGTCTGGTTCTGACACTTGCTCTCTCTTCAGACTATGTTTTTGCCATTTAGTATGCCTTGTAATCTTTTGTCGGGAGCCAGATGTCTGTGCCATTTTACCTTTGTCTGGTGAGATGTTGGGTTGTATTTACTGTTTCCTGAAGTTGTAGGTATCAGAGGTTAACATTTTCATTGGTGTCCTTGTTTTTGTCTCTCCTGTTGTCTTTGGGTTTCTAGAGACTTCTTAAATAAAGTCTGAAACTTCCAATTCTTTCTGTGGTTGTTCGGTTCTCCCTGTTACCACATAGGAGCATTGTACCACCTGCAGTGGTCAAGTGCAAGGGAAGAGAGAGTGTTCTATAGTCCCGTGATTAGTTCTTGGCCTTGCAGTGAGCCTGTGCCCCTGGACCTTCAAGAGTGCTCCTTAGGCTCTTCTCGCCCCCTTTAAATGAGATAGGAAGGTTAAAAAGGGCTGGAGTTGGGTATTTACCTTTTGCCAAGTTGGTTAGGTTCTAGGAAAACCCAAAATGGTTAGGCTCTGGTAAAACAGGCTCTTTTGAGGACATGCTTTATTAGGAAGAACACCTCTGGGTATACTTCAGAATGACTACTTTTCCCATCTCTGTATCAGAAGTACGAGGGGGTTTTTCTCTGGTCTTCACCTTGAGAGCCTGGTAGACGCTTGAAGGTGAATTCAAAAGTGGGCCCCACACTCAAGGTTAAATTCCCTTGGAATTTTGAATTTGCAAGCTTGTTCACACTGAGCTTCCAGCAATTGGTCAATTATAGTTTAAGTTTTCCAGTGGTACTTGCCCAGCAGAGGCTTCTGTTCCCAGTAAGCTGTGGTTCTCTGTGCTTGCCTATTTCTCCAGGCTTGGGGGCAGTGGTTTGCCCTGGGACCTCAGTTCACTGAGGCATCTAAGAAGAGTTGTTGATGTTTTGTTTTCTTTCAGCTTTTTTTCTTGTTGCAAGGACAGGAGCGACAGTTTCCAAGCTCCTTACATGTCAGGCCTGCCTTAATTTTTCAAGACATGGATTCCAGAACCCAGTTAGAGACGAGAATTCTAAAGTAAATCAAGTGGAATTAAAATCCTGGCTTTGTCACTGGCTAATACTTATATGACTTGGTAAAGTTACTTACCTGTGCCTTGGTTTTCTCATCCATAAAATGGGGTTAGATTAAAGGGTATTTATTTTATAGCATTGCTGTGAAGATGAAGTCAGAAAAATGCACGTTGAACCCCAAGCAAAATGTCTAGCATAGAGTCGCAGCTCAGTAAGCGTTAGCTGTGATCACATTATCTGGTCCCCACGCGTCCTGTGTGCGGTCACTGCTGGCTTCTTTTTTTTTTGCCTGGGACACCTCTCCTCTATCTATCTGATTCTACCCGTCCTTCAAAACATTGTTTATTTCTTCTGTTCACAAAGCATGTTCAGGACCCCTTATCCCTTTCAGATAAGGGGACTATATAATTTATCATCCAAGTCTGGGACACTTAAAAACATTTTTTTTAAAAGATTTTATTTATCCATTTGAGAGAGAGACAGTGAGCGAGAGCATGAGAGGGGTGAAGGTCACAGGGAGAAGCATACTCCCCATGGAGTTGGGAGCCCGACGTGGGACTTGATCCTGGGACTCCAGGATCATGACCTGAGCCAAAGGCAGTTGCTTAACTAACTGAGCCACCCAGGTGCCCCTAGTCTGGGAGACTTTTGATAGTGGAAGGGGGCCCTATTAATAATTACTCCAGGACAGCAGTCCCTGGAAAACTGGGAGATCTGGTCATCTCCCTTTTAGATGCCTCTTCTCTGGTTTTCCTTTGCCCCCAGTGTCTGCTCACATCATTGTTCACACTGCTGTCCTTGTGCTCTCCTTGTCTTTTACCCTCCATCCTGTAAGTCCTTGAGGGCAGGCATGGTGCCTCACTCGCAGCCATGGCATGGGATCTCTCACAGGGTTGTGCGCACCGTGCACACGCACACGTGCGCTGAAATGATGAGAGTGATCGTGCCATGTTCATTTCTACCTTTCTCTGTAATTGTTTCTACCTTGAATGTGATCCATGCCTTCTGCGTCCTTCAGATAAATCTGTTTTCTACAGCTCATATTCTGTCTCTTCTGGGAAGCCCCCTTTCCTTACGGCGCCCCACCATCTCTGCTTTCTCTCATCTCCTGTACTTACTGTTGCTGCGTATATTATCTTCTGTTCCCGGGGCGGGCTCTTCTGCAGTTACACTCAGCTCCCCAAGGACAGGCACCGTGTTGTCCCTGTTTCCAGGGTCTTCCCCAGCATGATCAAGCACAGGGCTGGCTGCCCCCAGCTCCTCAGGAAACCCGTGTTGGTCTCTGGTTGTTCAGTTTGGTGCCCATTCACCGGGACCTTCTCGAGCCTGGTCAAATGCTGCTAGTCGCTGGTGAAAGCAGGCCTTCTGTAACTGAGAGAGGAGCTCAGGGACTCGGGGGCAGACTTTGGTTTGGGGGGCAATCCTCATTTTCCCTCTGTTCTTAAGTCCACAGTTTTGTGTGTGAGTGAGATGGAGGCTGATCTGTCTGGCTTTAACATTGATGAACCCCGTTGGGACCAATGCACTTTCCTGGGACGGGTAAAACACTTCTTCAATATCACAGACCCACGCACTGTCCTGGTACCAGAGCGGGAGTTGGACTGGGCCAAGGTGATGGTGGAGAAGAGCAGGTGAGCAGTGAGCGGAAGGGACTTGAGGCCCTGGAGCCGCACGGTGGATCCCCTGGGGAGGAGGTGGAAGCCGAATATGGGGGAATGGACAGAGCTCTCAGGCAGGAGGCGGCAGAGTGACTTGGGGCAAGGGGTCTGGGCTGTAACTCTGTTGTCCTTGGGGGGCAGAATGGGGGTCGTGCCCCCAGGCACTCAAGTGGAGCAGCTGCTGTACGCCAAGAAGCTGTACGACTCAGCCTTCCACCCTGACACCGGGGAGAAGATGAACGTCATTGGCCGGATGTCCTTCCAGGTCCCCGGAGGCATGATTATCACGGGCTTCATGCTTCAGTTCTACAGGTACAGAGAGCCTGGGAGTAACGCAGTGGGCAGTGTGGCCACTTGGGTCTGCCAGGCAGGGAGCCCTGTGGTGATGATAGTGATAGCCATCTCTATTGACCCCTTACCTAATACCAGGCACTGTGCTAAATTCTTTCCATGGATTACCTCATTTAATCTTCTCATCAGCCCCACAGAGAAGTACTACTGTCCTCTCAACTTTATAAGTGAAGAACTGAGGGTCTAGAGAGGTTATGTAACCTGTCCAAGTTCACACTTGGGACACAGCCGGGAAAGATGGGTGCCTGGATGTTAGCCGAGGCAGTTGTCTCCAGAACTCTCAATAAATAAGCCATCCTAATTCCCTCTTTAGAAAGTACTTATTTAATAATGAAATTTTAATGTATTTTTATTTATTTTTATTTTTAAAAAGATTTTGTTCATTCGTTTGACAGACAGAGATTACAAGTAGGCAGAGAGGCAGGCAGAGAGGAAGAAGCAGGCTCCCCGATGAGCAGAGAGCCTGATGTGGGGCTCGATCCCAGGACCCTGAGATCATGACATGAGCCAAAGGCAGAGGCTTTAACCCACTTGAGCCACCCAGGTGCCCCTGTATTTTTATTTTTAAATCTATTTATTTTATTTATTTTTTGCAGAGAGAGAGAAAGTACATGAGTGGGTCAGGGGGCCATGGTAGTGGGGAGGGACAGAGGGAAAGCCCAAGCAGGCTGCACACCCAGTGCAGAGCCCGATTTGGGGGCTCTATCTCATGACCCTGAGATAATGACCCGAGCCAAAATCAAGAGTCAGACACTTAACTGTCTGAGCTGGTCAGGTGCCTCTAATGTTTTGTTGTTGTTGTTGTTTTTTCAAGATTTATCTATTTGACAGAGAGAGACACAGTGAGAGAGGGAACACTGGCAGGGGGAGTAGGAGAGGGAGAGGGAGAAGCAGGCTTCCTGCTGAGCAGGGAGCCTGATGTGGGGCTCGATCTCAAGGACTCCAGGATCATGACCTGAGCCAAAGGCAGACGCTTAATGACTGAGCCACCCAGGCGCCCCTCTAATGTATTTTTATAATGTAATGTCTTAGTAAAAAATACAGGAAGATGACACCGCCCCCCCCCCGCACCGCCGCTACCCGTAAAATAGGAAGACCCTTTCAGCCCAGCGGGGAGAGAATAAACTTTCTCTTCAGCTGTTGGAAATTTTACTCCTCCCTCTTCCTCTCCTCCCTCTGCTCCCCTCCCCCATGCATCCATTTGTCTGTTAGTGAGCCAGGCCTTGGGCCAGGTGTGGGGAATATTAAGACTCAGCCCCTCCCCTCAAGGAACTTTCAGTTTTGTTCAGCAGACCAACAAGTAAACAATTATAGTCCAGCTTGCTAAGTGGTAGGTCGGAGGGAGAGTATGGGGTTGTGAGAGAAGGGAGCATAGAATGACTCATGTTCCAGGAAGGGCAGGGGAAGGGTCAGGAAGGTTCCCGAAGAAGCAGTGACCTCTCAACAGAGCAGGATTTAGCCATGGATGGAAGGGGTGTGTGTGTGTAGACATTCCAGGCAGAGGGACCAACCTGTGCAAAGTCCCTGATGCATGAAACAGCATGGGAACAATTTGGGACACAGCAGGTCGTCTGGTTTGACTGGTGTGCCCCAAGCCCTCCCTTCCATTGGATTCTTCTTTACCTCTCTGGGCCTCCCTTACGGTAGGACGATGCCGGCGGTGATCTTCTGGCAATGGGTGAACCAGTCCTTCAATGCCTTAGTCAACTATACCAACAGGAATGCAGCTTCCCCCACATCCCTCAGGTAGGAGACTTGAACCCCAGGCTGTCCATGTTGGTCTGGAGCAGATGGCTGTCCTCTTGTCTTCAGGAAAACAGCCCTTCTAAAGGGTTCTTGGGCTGTCTTCTCTGGATGAGACTTGTACAGGGCTGGTGACCAAGTTCCCCTTTTTAGGGTTTGCAAGTATTTTCTGAGGCTGACTAGGAGAGTATCTTCCTAGACCAATTCAAAGTTTATTCCTTCATTCATTCTCAAATAGTTTTTTTTTTTTTAATATTTTATTTATTTATTTATTTATTTGAGAGAGAAAGAACATGAGCAGAGTGGCGAGCAGAGGGAGAGGGAGAAGCAGGCCCCCTGCTGAGCAGAGAGCCCGATTCAGGACTCAGTCCCAGGGCCCTGAGATCATGACCTGAGCCAAAGGCAGATGCTTCACCCACTGAGCCACCTGGATACCCCCCTCATCTATTTCTTGAGTAGCTTTTAAGTGCCAGGCATGGTTCCAGGGTCCTTGTTCTTGTGGAATTTAGGGTCTTTTAAGCAAACAAGCACAGCAATTTTAGGTTGTGACGGCTGCCCTTAAGGAAACAAACAGGTGACAAGATAGCAAACAGCAGAGGGGCATCTGTGTGGATGGGCTCGTTGCGGAAGTCTTTTCTGTGGAGCCCATATTTCGGCTGACTTCTGAAGGATAAGGATTTAGCCTACGGAAGAATTCCCCAGATAGGGAGCAGCAGCAGGTGAAGGTTCTGAAGCAGAAAAGAGTTTGGGTGTTAAAAGTACTGAAAGGAGGCCGAGGGGACTGGAACACTGCGTGTGCGTTGAGGATGGGGAAGTTCACAGGATGAGACAGGTCAAGTTTCAGGCAAGAAGCCTCATTTCCAGAATTTCTCAGTCAACTCAATAACTTGCCCTCAGCCGGCAGGGCTCCCCACTCTCAAGCCTGTCTCTCCTCCACTAGGCAGATGGCCCTTTCCTACATCACAGCCACAACCACCGCGGTGGCCACTGCTGTGGGCATGAACATGTTGACCAAGGTACTGTCTGGGGCTGCTGGGGGCATGGTGGCCACTAGGGGGCAGCAAAGCCCTAGGAAAACATCCCCTAGGCCTGGCGCTGTTGTCCTTGTCTGGGTGAGTCCGGTATGGCCAGAGCCCAGCCAAGTAGGGGGCAATGTAGCAGAGGTATCCCCAGGTTAGTTTTTCTCGGGTCTTTGAGGGAACGTGGGTTCCTAGACCAAGCGTCTGGATCAATGTGGCAGTATTTTGTAGTCCTTAAGCCCCCTCCCCTCCCATCTTCCGGTGTGAGCCCTGTTGTTCCCTTCCCCCAACAGAGAGCTCCACCCCTGGTGGGCCGCTGGGTGCCCTTTGCCGCTGTGGCTGCTGCTAACTGTGTCAACATCCCAATGATGCGACAGCAGTGAGTATGGGGATCCCATTTCTTCCCTACAAACCACAGGGTAGCGGGGCAAGGGCAGGAAACCAAGGCAGTGGGTGGCTTTGGGGGACCGAGGTGGGTGTGGGGAGGGCTTGCTGGCCTATACCTCTGAAGGGTCCCAAAGGACAGGCTGCTCCGAGGGTGATGGCTGTGGGAGTGGCAGCTGACTTAAGTTTAATCTGTGATGAGTGCTGTGGGAGTCATTGTTTGGATGGTGTGGGATGGCGGGGAGTAGGGTAGACCTGTGGGGGCTCATCGAGATCATGTCCTTTCAACTGCAACTGGCTTTCAGTTGTGAACTCTCCCTACTTCCAAAGCCCTGGGGCTGGCTTACAGAATGCAATGTAGCAGAGTGAGGTGTCCAAAGATAGAACAGAGCCAAGAAGCTTTGAAAGAAGCCAGAAGAGTAGATAGATGTTTTCCAGCCACCGGGCTCTAAGCTTCGCAGCAGGAAAGGTAAAAGGAGAAACCTGTGTGTCTTGCAATGCTTGTTTTTTTGGCGAGAGAAAGCATGGCTATTCCTCTATTGTCTGACCTAATGATGTAGTATACTCAGGCTCTCCCTGATAGCACCTGGGAGGTATCATGTGCCGCCTAAGTGTACGCTGTTAATGCTCTGGTCATCGTCATCACCGTCATCACCGTCATCACCATCACCGATATATACAAGCCACTTTTTCTTGGAACTGCCAGCAAATGGGCACTGTCACAACAGCTGTTGCAGAAAGAGCACAATCCCAGAATAGTCAGGTGTACACGTTCCTCTCCTCTTTCTCTCCCACCCAGGGGCTCCTTCCCAACAAACAAAGGAGCCCCAGCCACCTGCCTGGTCTGGGGATGAGTGCTGTCAGGAGCTGGCCTGAGAATAAGTCAGTACAGCTAGTGTTTGTAGAGCAGTCACTCTGTCAGGTGCTGGACTAAGCTCTCTGCAGGCGTCATCCCCTTTAATCCTCACCAGCCCTCTGCAGTGGGTGCCACGATTAGCCCCATTTTTCGGATGAGGTTAACTGAGTCCTCAGAAGGATCAGGAAACTTTTGCTCAAGTTCGGAAACTTACTCTGCTGTTTCAGGATTTGACCTAGGCTGTCTGAGCCCAGGCCTACCTCTCTTAGCTTCTGAGATACCACTCTGGAATGCATAAGGAAGATCAAAGGACCAGGCTGCCGGGGCTGGCTTCCCAGAGCTTGAGTGCACTGGCCTTGGTCCCCTGCTGTGTCCCACTGCTGGCAGGCCTCCAGCACCCTTTTCCCACGTCCAGCAACTCCTGTCTGTGTTTAGGGAACTCATCCAGGGGATCTGCGTGAAGGACAGGAATCAGAATGAGATCGGTCATTCCCGGGTGAGCAGAGGCATCCCTTTGGGGTGGGAGGAGGGAATTCTGTCTTCTACCCTGTCCTGTTCTTAGTAGTCAGAGCAGGCCCGGGTTCTGTTACAGGATCTCCCTGATTCCATTCTCATTCTCCTCGATTTCCTTATATTTCTTGTTCAGAACAGGCTTGTCATGTCTTTTCTCCATCATTTCTGGTCCTGAAGCCGTAAAGGTCTAGCTAGGTGAGAGAGGGTTGGGTGAGGACCCAGTCCCTGGTGGGTCCATCCCTTCCCCTTTATCATCTCAGACTTGACCCTGACCCTGAGCCTTGACCTCACCCTCTGGTACAGCCCATGGCTACTGGATAAGGTCATTCCTGACAACTTACTCTTTTCTGCCCTCAGAGAGCTGCGGCCATAGGCATCACCCAAGTGGTTGTTTCTCGGATCACCATGGCAGCCCCTGGCATGAGTAAGATAGAGAAGCCCTACCCTCCTGGGGGGACCCTGGAACACGTGATGGAGGCCTCAGCCACACTTAGCTTTTGTGGGCGGTGGGGCCCCAGCCTCTACAGTCGTGCTTCTCAAACTGGCTTTTCCCACTGTAATACAAAAATGATAATTCCATGATGTGATAGAGATTATAGCTAATGCTACAGGGGTAGTGCTATTACAATATATAAATGTACCAAATCCACACGTTACACATCTTACATCTACGTAGTGCTGAATGCCGAAACCCATGAGAGAACATCAGTTCTAGTTCTAGGAACATCAGTTAATCAGAGATCTGGCGAAGAAAGTTCTTTTCATTAAGTCCCTTCAATGTGCTGGACACAGTGCGGGGTGCCAGGGAGACAGTGGTAAAGAAATCCTCTGCCGTAGTTTTGCTCCTAGCAGGGGTATGTTACAGAGCGGGATACGAGATTTGTTTGCATAAGCCTTAAAAGATTTGAATTTGAGAAGGATGCTTTGGGCCTGCGGCTCGTGTCCTATTATAGGTGTGCAGGTGGAAAAGTCTGGAAAGCACCCTTCTGCTGGCACTTGGGGGTCAGTCTGGGGGTGGCCATGTCTACACAGTCTTCCATTCCAAAAGTATGTTCTGGAACTTCAGGGGAGGTGGGTCACTGGTCTGATTTTGGAGAGGGGTCTTGGGAAGAGTCTGACAGCCCTTCTCCTGGCTTCTCCCTGGTCTCTTGCAGTCTTGCTGCCAGTCATCATGGAAAGGCTGGAAAAGCTGCATTTCATGAAGGTGAGTGGGGTCCTCTTTTGCATCTGCCTTGCCTGGAGCCCCCCAGCCATACCTACACTTCAGAGCTTCTGATCCTTGTCCTTTCCTCTAGCTACAGGCCTTCATCTTGCTCAAATAGGGCCAGTGCTGGTCCCCACCAGCTGCCTGCTTTAGAGGTCATGGCCGCTTGTGTGGGGCCTTGTCTGCAGAGAGGAAGAAGAGCCCTCTTCTCCTCTCCTTCACGGCTAGGAGTTTTGTGCCCGTGGGTTTCTAGCTGGCCGATCAGAGGTAGGGCAGGCATGGGGTTCGCGTTAAGATCTCTAAGTCTCATGTTGTCTTTCCTTCGATTTTGTGCAGAAAGTCAAGTTCCTGCACGCCCCATTGCAAGTTTTGCTGTCTGGCTGCTTGTGAGTAGCGTGTTTTCTGGGTTTGGTTCTGTGACAGCTGGGGCACAGTAGCGTGTTTTCTGGGTTGGGTTCTGTGACAGCTGGGGCACCTGAGACCTGTCTTCTTGTGTTGCCTATGTTGGGGAACATGTACTTTTTTCTGTCACTTCCATAGTGCCTGAGCTCGGAACACCCAAGGGCCATCCGGGGAGTTCTTGCCCCATCTTTGTTGAGGGCATCAGGCTGGCTAGGCGCTCTGCCCAGAGCCACGTGGAGAGCAGAGTGCTTGGGTACCCTCTTGTCCCGGTGTGGCCTCTGATCTTCAGACCGGAGAAGAGGTGAAAACCACAATACAGCCCCACCATAAAAATTCTAGGGGCACCCGGCTGCCTCAGTCAGGAGGGCCTGTGACTCTTGATCTCAGGGTTGTGAGTTTGAGCCCTGCATTGGGTGTAGAGATTACTTAAAAATAAAGAATTAAAAAAAATAGCAATAAAGAAAGACATGATAACTGTGACAGTGACAGACATGTTAGCCAATGGCCTGATAGTCACATTACAGCATATCAATGTATCAGATCAGCGGGCCAGGCACCTTGCCTGCCCATAATGCCGTCCGGCCATGATGTCTCAATATAAATTAAGTAAATAAATAAATACGCTCAGACATACAAAAAGAGGGGGCCGCTGGGGCTGTCAAGTGTCCCAACCTCGCACAAAAGGAAAACACCATAAGTCATGGCAGCATGCTCCAGCCAGCGACTGGCCACATCCTAGCATCAGGCACACTTTATGAGGCCATGGGGCTAATTAATGACAACAGTACCCACCAACACGTGTGGAGTGTGTCCTGTGTGTCCCCACTGTGCTCATGCTCCATGCCTATCATTTCACTTAAGACCCTCAGCCCTGGAGGTCTAGGTCCTGTCATCATCTCCTTTTACAAATGAAGAACTCCGGGCTCTGTAGCTCATAATTGCTGGAGTTCGGGTCAAGTCCCCGGCAATCTCCCGCACCACACTACCTTCTGCCAGCTGAAGTGAGTGGAACCACTGCATGAGTGGTTCCCCCGTGCTGAGCACCATCCCCAGGTCATTTCCTCTGAGCTTGGCGACAGCCCTGCAGAGTAGACCTTCCTCTGCTGGCTCAGGGCTCACTCGCCCGGGATTGCAGAGCAAGCGAGTAGCCAAGCTGGGATCCGAACCCTGGTCGGTCAGAGTCCCACGTGCTGTAAGACAGTGCCCCAGCCCTGAAGCACCCTGAAGCACCCCCAGCCCTGAAGCACCCTGAAGGACCTTAGAAATCCTCTCCAGCCCTTCCTCAGGCCTCCTGCATCAGTGTTGCTTTTTAATAAGCCCCCCCGAGTTGCTCGTGTTTGCAGTGAGGTTGGAGAAACTGCTGTGTTCTGTTGTCTACCAACCTAGGGCTTCTGGCCGCGGGCACCAGCCCTTGGCTTTCATACCCTTCCTCCTCAGTGCTTGTGGCCTTCAGGGCCGCTGCTTGCACTGCCAGTGCCTTTGTAACCTTCACCTGCTTGAAGGACAGGTGGATGGGGGTGAGGGAGGGGAGGTGGAGGGGGGCCAATTTCATGCCATGCTGGAATGAGTATCCTGCCCTGGAGACCAGGAGGAGAGTTGCAGGGAGGGGAGCCAGGGGGCAGTGGGGAAGGCATCTAGCTCCCCGCTTCTTCGTGGGACTCAGAGACGGGGTATGAACAGGCCTGTGGGGAGATGCCCCTCACATTTTTTCTCCTTCCTTCCAGCCTCATCTTCATGGTGCCAGTGGCTTGTGGGCTCTTCCCACAGAAATGGTAAGAGTCCTCAGTTCCTCACTTTACCGAATGCCCTGTCCCTGCTCTTCCTGACCTGCCTGCTACAGGAGACAAAGAGGGGCAGGAAGGGCAGCAGTTGTCCAAGGCGAAGTGACTATCAGCTTAAACTCTGAGCCTCTTAACCCTGGGGGATGGTAAACCAGAACAGAACTCTAAGGGGCAGAGGGATGAGTTGCTCCCTCACAGTGGAATGAGGGCCGCCCTGGAGAGAAGTGGGGGAGCAAGAAGAGACTTTCTGTCCCAGTTGATTAGGTACTCATTCTGGCTTGTGTTTGCCTGGGGATGGATGACTTGGACCGCTCTACTTCCCTCGCCCGGGCAGGGAAGGGGTGTGCGAAGCAATGGTGGAAAAGGGAGACAAAGCATCAGACTGGGGGAGGGGAGAGGACGAGCTCCAGGAGACTAGGTGTAGCTTGGATGTACACTGAGAAGAGGCCAGGTTCCCCTGCTTTCATCTTCATGTTTCAGTGTCATCTGCAGACATCTCCTGTGTTCCAAGCACTGTGGCTTACAATCCTACAGAGAAGATGGAAACTTAGCACCAGGGAGAATGAAGTCAGGCCTGAGTAGAAGTAAAAACAACACATTATGTTGTACAGAAGCCCTTTCTGGTGGAAAAATCAGAAAGTGCTTCTTGGAGGTGGCATTTGAGTTGGATTTTATCTGACAGTAATTTGCTGCTTGTCATAATCCCCTTCTTTTCTCTTCTCAGTGAATTGTCAGTTTCTTATCTGGAACCAGAACTCCAAGACACCATCAAGGCCAAGTATGGAGAACTTGTGCCCTATGTCTACTTCAATAAGGGGCTCTAAATGCCCCATCCCAGCAAGGATCAGTCTGTACTGATATTCACCAGTCCTTCCTTAACTGCCTTGTACACCTGTGCCCTCATTGCTCTGCCAACAAGGCCTAAAGGTCAGGGTGGATTTGGGGGTGGGGTGGGGAGCCTCCTGTTTTCACCCAGGCACCTGGGTTATTGGACTCCAGGGGATAAAAGTGAACAAGGGGAGCAAAGACCAAGTCTTCTCTCTGCTACTCCCTACCCCCAACTACCATCCTCTGAAGACCAGGAGCTGAGATTCCCTGAGGGAGAAGTTGCTGGAACCTGGTGGAGATACTCAAGCAAACCATTTGGAAAAATTTGGGGGTTGGGGAGAAACCATTAGGAAACCTTTGGGATTCTAGTTCCAGCCAGGACTGGGGAAGAGCCCCTGGGACAAAGGGAAGCTCCCACCCCTGTTTCTTCTTCCCTTCCTCCTCATCTTGTCTCACGCTATGGAAACTTTTGCCCCTGCAGTTCTAGCCAACTGAGAAAGGGGGAGGGAAGAAGTCTGTTGTCACCTTGGGACTCTTCTTCATTCTTCCCCATTCTCCTCCCCAGTGCCCTCTTGTCAGAAAGTGTCTTTGGGAATGCTGCTAAACTTGGGTTGACCAAGCACCCAGGAGTTCTTAGTGCTAAAAAGCCACTGCACGAGGCAACAAAGTGACACTGATTTTGTTCTCCTGTGCTAAAATCATGTCTGGTTTTATATCTGTTTAAAAGATAAATCCTAACTGTGTGTAAAAACTATGTATGTAGGTATTAATAACACATTTTAATGGGTATATTTCCCCAGCTGCCTCCCTTCCTCAGCCCATTGGGTTAAACACCAAAGACTGGTGTGTACTGAATAGGAAAGGGGCGTTTTATCTGGACACCTCTGAGAACTAATCAGCCAGGATCAAAGAGCCTTAAAGGACACATAGCAAAGTGTAGCCACTTGCCCTTCCCATCTGGGCTGCTCTAGGTGATTTTTCAGGCTCGGGTGTGGTGGTCATGGGAGACCACTGTGGCTTACCTGCGATCAATGTCTGTATCGAGTTCTGTCTGGTAGAATTTATGACTATTCAAATGATATCACTGTGAATCAAATAAATTTCTTGAAAGAGCACAGTGAACTGTCTGCAGACTGAGTTAATAAAGCCTGGATGAAAAGCAGGATCTGGTCTTGCTTTGGCCTTGGGATGGAAGAGGTTACCGCAACGGTAAGGGGAACCTGTCTGAGGCCTGGAGGCCATTGTCGATTTCCCTTACTACAGAGGAAAAATCCACCTGTCTTTACTGGACACTCCAGAATGGGAACTGTGTTGTTTCAGAGCAGAAGTTGACAAACCATGGCTCAAGGGTCCAAATCCACCTGCTACCCACTTTTGTGTGCCTGGGAACTAAGAATGCTTTATATTGTTAAAGGGTAAAAAAACAAACAAACAAGAATATGTGACAGAGACTTCCATGTATGTGGCATGCAAAACAAAATATTTGCTCCCTGGCCCTTTATACAAAAAGTTCCCCTTACTTTGGAACAGTGGTTTTTAGAACGTGTCAGAGTCACGTGGATGAGTTGTTAAAACACAGATTGTGGGTCTAGTTATGTCTCCTGAGGCAAGGGAAACAAAAGCAAAAATAAACTATTGGTACTACTTCAAAATAAAAAGCTTCTGCACAGCCAAAGAAACAACAAAACTAAAAGACAAGCTACTGAATGAGAGAAGATATTTGCAAATGACATCTGATAAAGGGCTGGTATCCAAAATACATAAAGAACTTATTACAACTCAACACACAAAAAAACAAATAATCCAATTGAAAGGTGGACAGAAAAAGGGCACTGGCTGGTTCTGTCGGTAGAGCATGTAGATCTTTATCTTGGGGTTGTGAGTTCAAGCCCCACATTGGGTGTGGAGATTCACAAAAAATAAAATTTAAGAAATGGGCAGAAAACATGAACAGACATTTCTCCAAAGAAGACATGCAGATGGCCAACAGACACATGAAAAGATGCCCAACATCATTTATCATCAGGGAAATGCAAATCAAAACCACAATGAGATCATACCTCAAACCTGTTAGAATGGCTAAAATAAAAAAAGCGAGAAAAACGTGTTGGTGAGCGTGTGTCAAAAAAGGAATCCTCTTGCACTGTTTATGGGAATGCAGTCAGAGAAAGATATATCGTATGATTTCACACATATGTGGAATTGAACTAAAATCAAAGAACAAAAACAAACCAAAAAAAAAAAAAAAGGTGGGGGGGATGCCTGGGTGGCTCAGTCGGTTAGGCGTCTGCCTTCAGCTCAGGTCATGGTCCTGGGATCCTATGATCGAGTCCCACATCAGGCTCTTTGCTCAGCGGGGAGCCTGCTCCCTCTGCCTTCCGCTCCCCATGCTTGTGTGCTCTCTCTGGTCCTCACTCTGACAAAATCTTCAAAAAAAACCCAAACAGATTCTTAACTATGGAAAAGAAACATGGTTACCAGAGGGGAGGCAGGTGAGAGGATAGGTGAAACAGATGAAGGGGATTAAGAGTACACTTACCATGATGAGCGCTGAGTAATGTATAGATTTTTTTTTTAAAAGATTTTATTTGACAGAGTACAGCAGAGGGAGCAGCAGGCAGAGGAAGAGGGAGAAGCAGGCTCACTGAGCAAGGAGCTTGATATAGGGCTTGATCCCAGGACCCTGGGATCATATCCTGAGCCCAGGGCAGACGCTTAGGTCTGGGGTGGGGCCTGAGAATGTGCATTTCTAGTAATTGTCCAGCAATGTGGTTTCTGTTGGTCTGGGGCACACACTTCAAGGACCACTGCTCTAAAGGAGTGTCCTCTTCCCTGAGGCCAAGGTACTGGCTGCAATTTAATTTTTCTCCCTATTTTTTTCAAAATGAAAATACAGTTCATATAACATAAATTCATCTTTTTAAAGTCTACAATTCAGGAGCACCTGGGTGACTCAAGTCGGTTAAGTGTTTACCTTAGGCTCAGGTCATCATCCTGGGATCAGGCTCCCTGCTCAGCGGGGGGCCTGCTTCTCTTTCCCTCTGCCTACCGCTCCCCGAGCTTGTGCTCTCTCTCGCTGTCAAATGAATAAATAAAATCTTAAAAAAAAATAAAGTGTACAATTCAATGTTTTGTAGTATACTCATAAAGTTGCAATCATCATCACTAGTTCCAGGATATTTTTATTTTTTTATTTTTAAGATTTTATTTATCTGTTTGTGAGAAAGAGAGAGAGAGAGCGAGCATAAGTAGGGGGAGTGGCAGGCAGAGGGAGAAGCAGGGTCCCTGCTGAGCAGGGAGCCCGATACCAAACTCAGTCCCAGGACCCTGGGATCATGACCTGAGCTGAAGGCAGACGTTTAACCAACTGAACCGTCCAGTGTTCCATCCAGAATGTTTTTATTACTCCAGAAGAAACTCTGTACCCTTTGGCAGTCTCTCTTCATTCCCCACCGACTCAAAACCCCTAATCTACTTTCTGCCTCTTTAGATTGGCCTATTCTGGACTTTTCATGTAGGTGAAATCATGCAGCGTGTAGCCTTCTGTGTCTGGCTTCTTTCATTTTGCATAGTATTTTTGAAGTTTATCCATGCTGTAACATGTGCAATTTGATTTGAATTGATTTCTGAGCAGAAAACTCTGTGTCTTTGAGCTAGCTTTCTTAGGATAGGAGATCTGGCTTCAGCTTTGCCCATTTCCAAAGACAAATAGGAAAAAAATTACCAGAGCTAGCCAGAGCTTGGAAGCAATTCAACACTGATGTTCTTTCAAGAACTGACAAACTTCTCCTTTCCTTCCCAGCTCCTTAAACTTCCTGGCATTCCTCCTCCCTATATAGGCAGTGGCTCTTTTGGAAAAATCTGAAGTATGTGGTGGCTACATTTTAGAGACACTTCAAAAAGCACTCATTCAAACTGCATCTCAGCTTCATTCCGTAAGACCTCTCTGCTTTCTTTGAGTTGGCACCTGTGGGATATGGAAAGTGAAGTGGTTAGGGTGACTCAAACGCCTTCATGTGGGAAGTGCTAATCCAGACTGGGCAGGGTTTAGTATTTGTTCCATCCAGTGGCTCAGTTTGAGCTCTCAGGTAAAGAGTGAAAGGGAAATTAGGGTAAAATCTCCTGTGTTTGCTGAATTGACATTATTGGGTTTCCTCATGATGATGATGCCTGGCTTTTACAAAGGAGGACTTACAAAACCTTGAGGCCAGGACTGAGACCCTGTGCTGTGAAAATAATTTGGCCCTTGTCTAATACTGAATCTTTGTTTCTTCCCCAGGGAGCTTGATTTTGGTATGGATGAATTTCCAAGGCATTTGAGATCAGCAAAAATACTTGTCACCTTTTTTAACACTTAGGAAAGCAGGATCAAGAAGAGGCAGAACCAATGTCTTCACTCTTACCTGTTTCCCACTTTGCCACCATTTAAGCCAAGAACAAACTCCCTCTGGGCTCAGCTACGGGCTAGACTAGGCCAACCTGCAAAATGTGTTGGCAGGATTTTGAGAGGAAATTGGCAGCTACAGGCATCTGGCTTCTCTGGCATGGGTCTTCATTTGTTCATTTATTTTACCAACATTGTTGGCCTCATGGTTGGGCCTTGTACAGGATGTTGTAGGGTCAAAAAAAAAAAATTGAGAGAAAGACGGTGTGCTATACAAAAAACTGCAGATTTAGTGGGAGAGGTCAGCTAGGCAGATATTACAGATCAGCTACAGTATGTGTTAGTGTTATGAGAATCCGGAATAAGAAACAAGAAAGGGATGGGAACTAGGAGTTTATAAACAGAAAACTGTATGTGCAGTGTGTACTATAGCATAGCACACTGGAGACCTCTTTAAGTGTTTGGTGTAAGTGGAATGTGTGGGAAAATGTAGTGGCGGAAGATGAGATTAAAAAGAAGTAGGCAGGGCACCTGGGTGGCTCAGTGGGTTAAGCCGCTGCCTTCGGCTCAGGTCATGATCTCAGGGTCCTGGCATCGAGTCCCGCATCGGGCTCTCTGCTCAGCAGGGAGCCTGCTTCCCTCTCTCTGCCTGCCTCTCTGTCTACTTTTAATCTCTCTCTGTCAAATAAATAAATAAAATCTTAAAAAAAAAAAAAAAGAAGTAGGCAGGGATCAGGGCACAAGAGAGAACCATATTGAGTATTTCGGATTAAATATTCCGTAGGTAGTTCAAGAATTTTAGGAGGGAAAGCTTTAAGACAATGCCGTTTGGTTTTGGGTCATAGCGGATCCTTGCTGTGGAGTGCAGCAGTAACTGAGAGGGAAGAATTGGCAACTGAGGGCCTGCAGGGAGACCATTTGTATTTAGCAAGAAGATGAGAATATGGATGGAAACAATGGGAGAGGATTTCAGAGCGGTTTCCGAGGCAGAGTCAATATAATTGTGTCCCTGCAACTTGGGGCGACCCAGCACCGTGCCTCAGGTAAAGGTACCATTTCAGAGTATTCAAATTGACCTAAGCTACCACCTGGGCACTTTGGGACAAGAAGAGGGACCCTGGTACCCAGGGCTGAGCTTCAAATAAAAAACGTCAAAAGAGTTTTAGATTGCAGTTGTTCTTTATTTAAGGAGCGCCCGGTTACCTTCTAAAACAACTTCTTTCCCAATACTCTTTTTAGAATCACCATAC